GTTGACTGATGGAACTATTACTGGTTCCCCTATGAATTATCTAAATCTTGGGTTGAAGATATCTTTTGCTGAACTTCAGCAAGCAACAAACAACTTTGACACAAAATTGTTGATAGGTGAGGGTGGCTTTGGGAATGTCTACAGAGGAACTCTGTTGAATGGCAGAAATGTAGCTGTCAAGCGAGGTAAACGAGATGAGCAAGGGTCAGGCCAGGGCCTTCCAGAATTTCAAACAGAGATCATGGTTTTGTCCAAGATTCGCCACCGCCATCTTGTTTCCTTAATTGGGTACTGTGATGAAAGGTCTGAGATGATACTGGTCTACGAGTTCATGGAAAAAGGGAGCTTGAGAGATCATTTATATGATTCAAACTTGCCTCGCTTGTCATGGAAGCAAAGGCTTGAAATCTGCATTGGTGCAGCAAGGGGTCTTCATTACCTCCACAGAGGTGCAGCTGGGGGAATCATTCACCGTGATGTTAAGTCCACCAACATCTTGTTGGATGAAAACCATGTTGCCAAAGTTGCTGACTTTGGCCTTTCAAGATCCGGTCCTCTTGATGAAACACATGTCAGCACAAATGTTAAAGGCACTTTTGGTTACCTTGATCCTGAATACATAATGTCCCAACAGTTGACAGAAAAATCTGATGTTTATGCATTTGGCGTGGTTCTCCTTGAGGTGTTATGTGCAAGACGTGCTATTGATACAATGCTCCCAAGAGACCAAATGAATTTAGCTGAATGGGGAATGCTTTGCAAGAAGAAAGGGTTGCTTGAACAGATTGTTGACTCTTCAATCAAGAATGAGATTGATCCTAGCTCATTAAGAAAATTTAGTGAGACAGCAGAGAAATGCTTGCAAGATGATGCTAATGATAGGCCTACAATGGGTGATGTGCTGTGGGACTTGGAGTATGCATTCCAGCTCCAGCAAACAGCAAAGCATAGAGAACCCCATGAAGACAGCACAGCCAATGCTTCATCAGCATTTGTATTGCCAAAAGTTCAGCGTTTTCCTTCAGTTAGCTCCACGATTAACATAGATGAACTGGCTCTTCTCGGAGCCGATGAATTAGATACAACAGAAGTTGAAGTTTTCTCCCAATTGAGAGTTGGTGATGCCCGATAAATTTGTTCAGTTTGTAAGGTATATTAGTTAACCTTGTTTAAGTTTCTTTAGGCTGTAAAAGCTAAGTTAGGTATGCCTTGTTAATTTTAGTCCTATCTTTGATTATTGTACTACAACTGCTTTCCCATCTTTAAGATGCGATAATAGTATTAATTGTTCATAAACAGAAGCAGCTAACAAATTCTATGATAGTTAAACGGCTTATTTACTGTAGCGCCCCCTGAAACTTTGGTTAAATCTCACTTTACCCCCTGAAAGTTAAAATGGCCCATTTTGCCTCCTTGACCGATGTTTTGCATGACCAAGCATCCAACCAGCACATGCTGAGGTCAGCATGACCAGCAACTTCAAGGGCTTAGGAATTGGGCTTCCCTTAAGCAAATTAAGACTTTAAGCACTCAAACTTGAAGTTCAGAATGTCTTCTTTCCAGCCATATATCATTTGGGCCAATCCAAGGTCGGAGGGGGAAGTTAAGGCCAAAACAAATTGCTAACTCATTTTGCGCGCTGATAAAATCCATCCTGAGCATGGCTCTGTGTTTGCTAGGTAACAGACTCCACAATTATCCAATGGGGCTGAATTTCGGATATGTTATAGTATACACCCATTGGAACAACTTTCATGAAGAATGTGGCCTCATCCGAGCTATGTAGATTGCTGAAACAAAGCTTGCAATATGACCTACGAAACTGGGCTGGCAGGGGACTGTAGCCAAAATTGAGTTTGTCTTTAAGCTCTTCATCCATTCATCCAAATTAGGCCGTAACATGCATGGATTGCATCATTTACTATCCAAAGCCCTCATTATTACCTAAAGCTCAATGAACTGAAAGATAAACACAAAAAGGATTAAAAGCACAAGTTTAACTCAAAAACATAACCAAATCATAAGCTAGAAGGGTACAAAATGATATACAATTATGAACCGATCAGCAACCGGATTATCTCCACACTATTATGAGTTTATGTTTTGATGAAGCTTACAAAGTTGTAAATCGAATTTCATACTTACCAAGAATTGCAATACGTATTAACAATAATTTCATACTTACAAGTAAAACAATAAATGAAGTTGTTGATCAATTAAAGAAAACAAAATTACCCATACCAAGGAAAAAAAAAACAAAAAACTACTGTGTCGTTCTTCCTTGCCATTGATATCGACCTTGATGGTGCGGTTGGTGTTGATCTTTTGGGTCAACAGGGGAGAGTCAATTACTTTTGCCCAGTCAATCCATCGACAACATTTGTGAAAGTTACTGCGATGGAAAAAATGATTGCCCCCATCATTCTTCCTCCTCCCTTTGCAACCAACCACCACCCATCATCATCCATATCCACCCAAACCCACCACAAGCCATTCCCACAGAAAAAATGGATCTGGTATTGTGGATAGGTTGAGTCTGCAACAGATCTGGGATGGCAGTTGGGTTGAATCCTCAGCGAATCTGGAGTTTCAAGCTTGTCGGATCTGGAGCGAGATAAGGGATCGGATCTGGAGAGAGATAAGAGATGGCTTGGGTTAGGGGGGCGTTGGGATGGAGGCCCTTCTTCTCCCCTCTGCCTTGAAAGTGCAGCCAACCTTTTACACCATCATCATCAAAATCACAACAATCATGAAGGATAATCATGATCTAGGCAATATTTTAAGGCAATTCCCTATTTTATAGATACTAGGTACGAAGGGATGGGGTGGGGTGAGGGAGGAGATCTGTTAGTTGCGATGGTGGAGGGGTGGGGTGGTGTGGAGAAGACGATGCTGCTGGTTTTTTAATTTCCTATTAATCTTTTCTTTCATTTTTCTTTTATTAATAATAGTTGAATTAACTTTTTTAAAAGAAAATCTTTCTTTTTATTTTTTTTACACATGACACCTACGTGGCATCCAATTTAACAAAATTGTGGGTCCCATTCGTGCCACGTTGACATTTTTAACAGAGTTTTTGACTGACTTGACGGTGGGGGGTAAATTGAGATGCAAAACATCGGTCAAGGAGGCAAAGTGGGCCATTTTAACTTTCAGAGGGTAAAGTGAGATTTGACCAAAGTTTCAGGGGGTGCTACAGTAAATAAGCCTATTTATTATTGGATTCTTTCTTTTTTAGTTAATTGGTGGATTTGTTTTGGTGGGGATATGTCGCAGTTGAAAAGGTTTGCTATTCGTGTTTTGAGCCTTACTTGTAGTGCGTCCAGGTGTGAGAGGAATTAGAGCACCGTTGAGTTGTTAAAGTCCTTCAATTAAATTAATGCCTTAAAATATACTGATGATTGCATGCTTCTAATTCTAAACCTTCAATCTAATATTGATGTTTTTGTTAATTTTAGATTCATACAAAGAAAAGGAATAGACTTGAACACAAAAGGCTAAATGCCTTAGTCTATGTTAAGTACAATACCTCTCTCAAGCAAAGGAGTATCCAAAGGAGGAGAAAGGTTGATCCAATTTTAGTGGATGACATTCCCTCCAATGATGAATGGATAACCGAGATAGAGGACCCAACTCTTCCGGTTGATCCTAGTTGGATTGAAGAGGAAGCCATATTTGATGTTGATGCCATAAGGAATGTGCCAATTCCTACTTATGAAGGTGGCCTAGAACTTCTAGAGTCAATCACTCATGATGTTGTTGTTCATCATCAGCCACCTCCTAGGGAGCCTACTCCTCCTAGGGAGTCCATTCCTCCTAGGGAGCCAACTCCTACAAGGGAGTCTACTCCCGAGCCTCCTATTATTCAATACAAGCGAGGGTGTGATGATAGCTCAAGTAAGTATAAACAAGTGATTTAATATATTTAATTTGTTTTTTAATATTTCACATCAAATAGTTTCTTAAGTAAATGATATATATTTAATATTTAATATTTATAGGTAATCTTGGACGAAAAAGTAAGGCCCCAAAAAGAACAATACTTGTTGATGAGGATGATGATGAAGATGATATGAGTTAGTTGCATCTTCCCCTCAATGAAGATGAGAATAATGATGGTGGTGATTGTGTTCATGGTAGCATGGATTTGAATGATGATCCTTATTGATGAGGATGAGGATATGGATGCATGAAGTTGGTTTTCTTTTTTATGATTGGTTTTTGGTTTTGTGAATTATGAATTGTGGATAATCTTTGCACAAGATAAATATTGTGTTTGAATGGTAATTAGACATTTTGGATTACCAAATTGATTGCATATATTATGTATTATTTTTTATAATTATAATATTCAAATTCCCAAATAGCTTACGCGACAATGTGTTGATGCTTATGCGATGCGATAGCTTATACAAATTGTGACGCGATATGCGATAGCAATTTAAAACATTGGTCATAAAACAAATGAATGTTTACACCTGGTTTCAAGTCACTCCATATCCTCAAACGATTCACTTTGCCTATATTGTAGGCCCTATAAAGAAAAAAAATATATACATATTTTACCCGTGAAGCTATAATTATCTGGATACTCAATGCTTCCACAGTCAAGAGCTCTAGTGCATACCTACGATATACCACAGAACACAGGCTATGCCATAAGGCATCTCTGTATTGATAAAAAAGGAACACACGTTGCAATACAAATATGTTTAGCTTAAGAGAATGACTTAAATAAAAATTACGCAAAACATGTAATAAATAACTTTATGCCTAATGTGGAAGCAAATATTCACGGATCCTAGGTCAAATAGTTAATCCAATCAATTTGAGAATTATTTGATTCTTGCCATAATTGGAGATTTTATTAAAATCAAATCCCTAATTAACTCAATCTCTCCAAATTGGAGAAGAATAATTCCATTCCATTTGTGGAATTATTCTTCCGAAACCTAGCCTCCGAGAATCCTATAAATACATGGCTTTGCACAAGGCTTGAGGTAATTCTAAACCTATGTCTGAAACTCTGCAGAAATCTCCTCTCACAAACCCTAGCTGCTGCACTCTTTCTCTCTCTTAAACAAGGCTCCAACCACCACACACGGCTCCGGCCACCCAGTTCTTCCCGAGAGAAATCTCCTTACACTTTGTTAGCTACTGTTTTTTTTACACACAGTCGACCTAACTTAGGCATCAAAGGGACAAAAATCACTCCCACAAATTGGTGCTTTCATTCAGAGCGCAAGTGAAGACTCAACGCGTGCTCGAAATCCATTTTCTAAGGAAGAGTCCCGACAATAGAAACCTTCACTAAATTCACTATCTCGATTCACCAGATTCTAGCACAAGTCAAGGACAAGCCTTGGGTGAACAGACCACCGCCTTAGAGAGGACACCCGGCTAAAAGGGACATCAGTAAATACTACGCATTCCATGGAGAGCACAATCATTACACAAATAGTTGTTTAGCCTGGAAAAGGCACCACGAGGAGCTGGTCAAAGACTGTCATTGCATGAAATTCATGCTAAAGAAGGCCATCCAGCAGATCGAGGATTATGACACAGCTACTAAGGAACCTCCCCAAAAAGTCATACAAATCAACACCATCCTAGCCGACTTCTAAGAGTTCGAGCTGACCACTAGGGTGCAGAAGAGAAAGATCATGCAGGTGACTTACGTCTCCCAAGTCACAACTTGCGATCCAGCCATTGAAGACACTCTTATCATCGACTTCCAGAAAAAGGAACTAATCAGGTTGGATCTGCCACATAACGACGCCCTCATCATCTTCATCCATATTGAACAATCTATGATCAAACGAGTTCACGTGCACGAGGAAAGTGCTGCCAACATCCTACAATTATTTGTTATACAATAGATGAGATTGGAGCCCAAGATCAACAAACTTGCCAGATCGTTCACCGGCTTCAATGGGGCCACGTCGATCACTATGGGAACGATTGACCTTGACATCCACTCACCCCCGGTGGTCTGCTCGCGAACCTTCATGGTCATCGACAAGGACTCCCCCTACAACAGAATCCTAGGCTGACTATGGATCAGCAAGATTGATGCCATCACACCCGCTTCACACCAGAAGATTCGCTACCCCATCGCTAGGGGCGAAATCATGTAGATCAATAGTGATCAAGCCATGGCTAGGAGATGCACAGCCCAAGGGCTAAAGGAGAGTAAACAGTTGCAGTGCGA